TTCCAGAATGGCTTCGCGGGCCGCATCCAGCCCCTGGGCCTTATGTTTGACATGTCTGGTATAGTGTATGAGACTGGATTTTTTTTTCCAAGTGAAAATGTTCCATCTGTAGAATCCTAAATAATTGGATGAATCAAGAAGCTTCCATGGTTTCTATTATTGTGTCTGCTTGCTATAGCTGATGATGAAAATACAAAAATGAAAGTTAACTGGTTATATCACTCGATTCAAAAATATATTTGGGCCCATTGGCAGTCTGACATCTATGTCCTTTGGCAGTATCTTAATATGAAGATATTAACATGTACAAAATGCAGTTGGTTTTCAATACAGGTCTATATTGAATATATCATTGTCATGTACTCATTCAGTTTTTTAATTTAGAAGAATTCCATGAATGCATGATTGTGTGTTCCTCTAGATGAGAATATGGTTTAAAATTGTGTATCTTTGTTAGCTGTGCTAATTTTGCAAATATCTAAACATAGAATTATGTTAGCAGATAGTAAATCACAACACAGGTAATAGTATCCTCAATGTGTCCTTCAAAGTGACCTTTTATTTTAGTGTAATCAATAGATAACTTAAATATTCACAATTTAACTTCTATGAAAAGAAGTAAATATTCTTCATGTACGTTTAATAAAAATCAGACAATATTGCTGTGTTATATGCATTTTAGAAAAATATAACTTTAATATGAGAATTTTATTACTCTTACCATCTGTTACTTAAAATATCTTATGTAATCAGGGCACTTGATCTGTACAAATTCTTGCTGTTACTTTAAGACAAATTTCATAAAATTCATACCCTAATCATAACAATGTCCAGTTTAAATAGTAACTTAAAATATGGTAATTCATGAATTACCCAAAACAATAAGGGAAGTCCATCAAATAGGCTTTATTCTTTGACGTGCATTAGTAGAGCTTCACTTGAACACCATTTTCAGTGTAGCCAAATTGATTTTATAAGATGCTCAGTATAAAAAAAAAATTAAGTCTTTAACATAAATTTGAATATTTTTTTCTCTACAATTTGGAAATCAAATTATAATCCAAAATCAGTTGTTAGCTTCCTTTTCTCCTGTAGGTGGCAGCAAGATGTTAGCTCCTTTTGATTTCCAACCTGGAGAGCTACTTTATTCTGTTTGTTCAATATGTAAGGTCACTATTTTCTTTTTTCTTCCAGAGCAGTCATAATGTTTATCTAGAAATGTGGAATTAATAAAAATACCTCCTATGTTTGAAGTGTCATCCAGAAAAGCCAAATTACTGTCAATATATAAATAAAACTCGTAGATTCTCTTTAAAAATAGAACTTCAGTCCTCTATTGAGTAACGGAAGCAAAAAAGTGCATTTCAGTTTTGAAAATATTTTATCAATAGTATTTATTTTTAGAATTCTAATGATTGACATCAGTTGTCTTTCATTTTAATTTAAGTTTAACAGTGTATTAAGATGCTGTAGATCGGGTTTCCAACCTGGGCTTTGCTAGGTGTGGAGTTCTGGGAGTTAAAGTCCATAAGTTTTAAAGTTGCCAAGGTTAGAGACCCCTGCCACAGATCACCCTTGATTCAGTTGGACAAAAATGAATACAAATATGAAACACTGAGGAAAAATGCTTTGGAGAGATTAATGATGCTGAATCAAATATGATTGACCATCTTGTAGGCAGGAATCTACTGTAAAATATACGGTTCATGGGTTATATCAATTTATTCAGCAAGTGTTCAAAGTTAGGATAGCACTGAAAAAAACTATTTATGACCAGTCTTTGCACATGATGATCTCAGCATCCCTGTGATCAAATGTTCAAAATTTGAGCATGTGGTGACCAGCCATCATTTATCGCCCCAGCTGAGCTTTGACAGCTTCTTTGCCTTCCTCCCTCCACTGGCCTCAGTGATGCTGGCTGGCCTCAAGCTCCATGGTATGTGGGCTCTATCAACCATGTATGTAGGGCACTCTCTCCACTACTTCCCCCTACAATCGCTTTGCCACATGGGAATCCCTTGGCCAAGTAATAGCTTTGACAAAGCAACATCCACTTCCAAGTGCAGACAGGCCTCTTGTTACCATTCAGTGAGTGTAGTGGTGAGAAAGAATTCTTAACCCTTGAGTAGAGGGGGGGGCATTTAACTGCTGCTGCCAATGGTGGTGCAGCCTGAACACCAGCTCAATCATGGATTTGTGAGACTTGGCTGGTCCTGCTTCAAACACTTACTGTAAAGTTAGTGGAACATCTGTCAAGGGCCAGGCTCAGATTCTGGATCTGACCCTAAAAAATGAAGCTCCAACTGAATCTGTAGTAGATAAGCATCTGGAGGAATCATATGTGGCTGATCAAACACAGGCAACACCTGAGCAGCTGGAAGAATCACAGGAGGAGGACTAAAAACTTCCCAGCTCAAACACACAATGAAAGGGAAGCAGAACAGAGAAGGTCTATTAGGTTTTTCTCTAAGCCAGGGGTGTCAAACTCGCAAGGTCACGTGACGTGTTGCAACATATCGTGACTTTTTTTGCCATTGGCAGCAATGTGGTGAGTGCGATTGGTGGGCCAGCAGTTTGACACCCCTGCTCTGAGCAAAGAAATAAGCCTGATTGATGACAACTGGTTGCAGCCTATATAAGAATCTGCTCTACCCCTATTCTTTTTAATAATAATAATAAAGTTGGAATGGACCTTGGAGGTCATCTAGTCCAACCCCCTGCTCAGGCAGGAAACCCCATGCCATTTCAAACCAATGGCTGTCCAGTCTCTTCTTAAAAACCTCCAGTGTTGGAGCATTCACAGCTTCTGGAGGCAGGTTGTTCCACTGATTAATTGTTCTAACTGTCAGAAAATTTCTCCTTCGTTATAGATTGCTTCTCTCTCTAGTTAGTTTCCATCCATTGTTTCTTGTCTTTCCATCCATTGCTTCTTATTTTTGATGGAAACAATGTCTGATATATGGCTTATGTGTGATATTGATGTGTGGATTCTGCTTCTTGGACCTTGGGCAGGAATACATGGAGCATGCAGAATCTTTCAGGCAAGGGTGGTGGTGGGCTGATATTGGTGAAGTGGGCATCCCTACCAATGCACCTTACAAGGCAGACAAAGCCCCTGCCCTATAGACTTGAGGCTGGGAGCAATGGCAAGCCCAACAGAAAGTCAAGGTGAAGAATTTTGAAAGTCAGTTTGGGCAATGGCGGCAAGGATATCAGCAGAGAAATGCAGTAGCCTCTTCATTTTGGCCATGCTGTACAGTGCAGCCAAGGGGCAGAGATGGAGAGGGAAGGTCTGGGGAAGTTGAAGCAAAAGCAATTGGCAAGAAAAGCACAAGGTCCTTGCCTAATAATTGCAACCAGGAATGACTGGACAGCAGTTGCTAAGCAGCACAGTCATGTGATATTTCATGTAGTTAAATATTCACCTAGTAATGTAAATTCTGGTCCCAATTAGAGTTGTAACCAAGGACTACTATAAAGCAATTTATAAACTGCTCCTGGTCCTTACAATGATAGCATCAGCTTCCATCCATGCCAAAGAGCAACAAATGGAGGGAGATATTTTCATTGTCATGAAAATTGTCATCATAACATGGAGTTGTGTACTAGGATTTTTTTTAAAGTTTCTATATGTACTGTAGACCTAACCTTCCATGGCTTTTGAAAGTACATATTAAATTGCATATCAGTTTGATCATTGTTTATCCAAGGATAAATATTAACATATAATGCCAATCTTTAATTTAACCATACAAAATGTTAATTTAACATTTTGATCAGTCTATGGATCCTTTAGCCTTTTCTATGTGTACAACATGTTCCCAAATTTATGTAATATTTTAACTCTAATATTTGGTATTTTTATTTAATATGTACTTATAAGCAGAGTTCAAGACCCATTGTTCTATAAAATACTTCATTAAACATCTACGAAAGATAAAATATAAAAAAGCAAACAAAAATTATTAAAAAGGAAAAAGATAGGGGAACGGCAGGGAAGGGAAGGTGCAAAGAAATAAAGAAAACCTAATAGAAATAAATAACTTCCAACTTTCTCCAATACTGTTACAAATATAAAATATATAGAACATAGAATCACAGGGTTGGAAGGGATCCAGAGTTCTTCTAATCCAGGGGTTTCCAACCAGGGGTGTGAGACGATATTACAGGGGGTGCAAAAGCTTGGGTTTTCAAAATTATAGTGTATATGCATAATTTGTTGTTGTCATTTTGAACTTTTGTAAGGAGTGCGAGAATATATCAGAAGCATTCTAAGGATGCGGGGTATAGAAAAGGTTGGGAACCACTGTTCTAGTCCAACCCCCTGCTCAAGGCAGGAGACCTTACCATCCCTGTCAAATGGTTGTCCAGTTTATTTTTGAAAACCTCCAGTGATGGAGCATTCATAACAAGAGGCAAGTTATCCCATTGATTGTTCTCATTGTCAGAAAATTTCTCCTTACTTCTAGGTTAGATCTCTCTTTAAGCTTTCACCATTACTATTTATCCTGCCCTCTTGTGCTTTGGAGAATGTCAATCCCCTCTTCTCAAGTACTAGAAGACAGTTATCACGTACCCCTGTAATCCTTCTCTTCAATAGGCTAGACATACCTAGCTCCTTCAACTGTTCGACATACGATTTAGCCTCCATAGTAAGTGGTGCTACTTTAACTTCAATATCTTTTAATAAGCAACTGAAAATTATATTGATTGAGTCTAAGTTGATAATCTGCATTGACAGAAAGAATGCCAGCTACCTCACTTCCACTATTACCATAGGGGTTGTTTTTCATTTCATTATGTCTATCACATGAATAAAGATAACAGAATCATATCTATCTAGTATATTTATGCTTTTAAGAGCCTCAGTAAAATTTAATTATGCTATTACATGTAAACAATTTTGTAAAGACTGAAGTGCATTTCTTATCTGTGTAGCTGAATAATTTCATACATACAGGTGGTTATTTCTATTTCTTTATCTTTCTTTTACTTGGCAGATACATAATGAGCATATTGATGCAAGATAAATTTAGTGAACAACTATAAAATGCCCAGGTTTGGGTCAACAAAGACAGTTCAAGTTCAGAATTCTATCAGCGATAGCACCATGGTGGAGAAACCAACTGGAAGAAAGGTATAAAAAGAAACTTAAGATTACATTTTAGCTAATTTATGGAAATGGAATCTTTGTAAGTTAAAAACAATTAGTTGAATAAATGGATTTTAATTGGTACCAATTGGTACCAGAAGATGGTGGAGGACAGGAGGACCTGGAGGAGCGTTGTCCATGGGGTCGCGATGAGTCAGACGCGACTTCGCAATTAACAACAACAAAATTGGTACCAAAAGGAATTGTTATAGTCACATGCTAAAAAAAACCCTACTCCTTTGATATAATATTTTTTATTGTATTTTTTTTATAAAACATTTCAGTCATATATAATAATTGGTGAAATTGCTTGAAGGTAAACTCACTGTTTCATTTAACATACTGAATATGGTATTTCATAGCATTAATTTTAAGATTTGAAACAGTAGTAAAATGAGGTGAGATGGGAAATTGTATTATAGAAATTGTCACTTCCTGTTCTATCTCAGTAAACTTCATCCAGTATGAAATATTAGAAGAGGAGAAAACTAATTAAATAGTTTAAAGTTTATCTCAGGAAAGGCCACTGGATTTTGTTGAAAAGAAGCATTGCTAATTAGTCATTTCCTGTTTATGGAAGGGAAGTCTTTAGTATCTATAATTTCTGGAATAGTCATTCAGGAACAATAGAATCATAGTTATAATATGTGATGAGTTGAAATGTTCAAGATTTAACACCTGTTCGTGGAATTAATTACATAATACTACTTGCCTGAATGAATTTTAATTCAATTACTTTTCATTAAGATTTTAAAGACTCATAAATTGATACAATAATTGTTGTTTTTATTGTTTCAATATTAGTTTAATAAACCAATCCTGTACTAAAATTGCTGGTGCTTCCACAATGACTTTTGTAATTGAAATTCTTATTTTGTAAATTGGTGCTTTCTGTTGCCATGAATGCATTCTATTAAAAGTATTCTTCCCATTTGAGTTTCTCTGAACTTTTACATATTTTTGCCCCAGAATGTTATCAAAGTTTCATGTGGATCCTACTGACAAAGTTATTCAACATACAATGTGCTAATGTGGAAAAGTATTACTGTTCCCCACCTCTACCCCTACTTCAAGCAATTCTGTTAAAGGGATACCTATAGCCAATTATTTGGATACTTCATTAAATAATCAGTGCTGATTTGGGCCAGATCCAGCCTATGTAAATCTCATAATCTTACCTTGTTTCATTACAGTAAGATTCATACCAGCTTATAGACCACATCCTGTTCAAATGAAATTTGTATAGACGTTTGTAAAGAGTCCTTATGCCTACTAATCTGGCAAAGATTACAAAAAATGTCTAAAGCTCTAGGGCTCAACTGATTCATAAGTGGAGACAATCTTGAAATGGAGACATCAAACAATAATGAATCTTCCCAAAAGGATTGATTCTGACCAAACAATTCCTAGTTGCAACATAGAATCATACAGGAAAGCATAAAGAATGACAAAACATTAAGAGATCTGCAGGCTTTTTCCTCCTCCTGGATGTGTATATATATATTTATGTTGGGATCAGAATGCAGGAGTTTTAGAAAAAGCTTGTTGGTTTTTTGTATCTGAGGAGGTCATGTATGGACTCGGGGTCTTCAGACTTCCTTTTTGTGACAATAGTAACAGCAGCAGCAGTAAAGAGTAGCAGCAAAGGAGATGAAAGATCAGGAAGATCTGTTTGATGAACATCCTTGATCATGGCTAGGACAGGACTATACAGCTATTTGGATTGAACGTGAGCTGGCAGTGGAGCCTCATTGATCAGCTGTTCATCTGACTAGAGATTCTGAGTGTTAGACAGAAGATCCTAAAGAACTGATTAGAGAGCTGGTGGGTGGTTATGTCATCTGAATGTGAGTTGAGGCCTTTTGTTTGGGAGGGAGGGGACGACATGATAGGATTAGTGTGTTGAGGGTAGGAACAGGCTGTGATATATGCCTATGATGATGGGCAAGGGAGATATAGTGGGAGATAGTTCAAGGTGCTCTCAGAGAAGGCATGCTTGACCTGTTGTATAGATTCTACATTCCAGCTCTTTGTGCTCAGGCCCAGAGTGCCTGTAATGGAATATGCAGATGACCTTGGGGGTTCAGAGAAAGAGATGCTGCCTAGGGATCAATCAGTTAAGAGAAGGGGGAACCACCAAGGATTTAATAGTCAGAAAAAGAAATTTAGGAAGGACCCACCCTAATTGATCAAATGGTTAAAAGTGGCAGTGGGAAGTTTGTACCCTTAGATTTACAAGATTATATTAATATAGTCTTACAGTAAAGTAGATTTAACTCATTTAGTTATGTTTCCTGTCTGGTTTACCCGGCAATCTGACAGTGTCCCGTGCTTTGACTGTTGCTATTGAATATCAGATCTAACTGGAATAATTCCTCCTCTTTCATGATCTGATAGAGAACGAGAAGAGTCTTCACTTAGAAACATGCTGACTTGAGTTTTGAGAGTGGCCCAACTTCAGAGCAAGGACAGGAGGAAGCTGCTGCCATGTGAGAGATCCTGGTTGCTTTTAGGTACTGCTCCATAGCTAACTGGTTATGAGTCTGCACTAGTGAAATCTCACTAGTACAGGCATCAGATAGGACTGCTGTTACTGTACCAGCCTTCCTGCTATGTTGGAGGCTCCGCATCCAAACTGCATAAGACCGTGGCTGGGTTGGCAATGGAGGTCCCCAAATTCATGGTATTGAGCAACATTGATTTCTCTTCTCTGAGCACAGGTTCAGAATTAGCTCAGGCATTCTGGGCAACTATGTACCTGGCCCACATTATGAACCTAATTCATTAGAAAAATACCAGTGTTGTACAAGAGTTAAGGTACCAGGCTAGAAACTAAGAGACTGTGAATTCTAGTCCTGTCTTAGGCAGGGTGACCTTAAACCAGTCTCTTTTAGTCATAGGAAGAAGGAAAGGCAAACCACTTAAAAAAAACAAAAAAAACTTGCTAAGAAAACTGTAGGGACTTCTCCAGGCAATCACCAGGCATCAAGACTTACTCAAAGCACCAAAGAGAGGAGAGAAGGAAAAAAGTGAAAGTGAAAGTTACTTTGTTGTGGTTAAGATAGCAGCTAGAAAGTGGGAAACCATAAGTTCTAGTCCTTAGGCACAAAACCAGCTAGATGATTTTGGGCAGTTATTCTCCCTCAATCCGAGGAAGGAGGCAATGGCAAACCATTTCTGAAAAACCTTAGCAAGGAAACTAAAGGGACTTGTCCAGGCAGTCACCAGAAGTCAACACTGATCTGAAGACACAATAAAAAACAAATAAACCTCATAGCAGTGATTATATACTAGACTAGGGGTGTCAAACTCACAATGTCATGTGATGTGTTGCGACGTATTGTGATTTTTTTCCATTGCCGGCAATGGGGTAGACGATGTTTTGGTATGACGCATCCGGCCCGTCGGCCAGCAGTTTGACACCCCTGTACTAGACCTAGTTATCTTGGTGCAGTGGTGATGATCTGGAGTTGGGGGCTATTACCTTCACTCCCTTATCATGGCAAGGTGTGACGGACTATAATAACAAAGCAGGGGCATTGTCAACACTGTAATCATTGGATATTCCTGCTCTGACAACTGATGAAAATGCAGCCATTTCCACTTTGCTTTTAACTTGCTTTTTCTTCTATTTAAAAATCAGGTACAGAAGGGGGGGGTTGGATGAATGCTTGAGCTCAGCTAGCCATAATAATAACGCTGCTTTGTGGGAAATCAAGGATGAACTGATAACGATTGGCGGGCTAAGGAACTGGGAGAAAGCCCGCGTTTCAGGCTAATTGGAGAACATGATTTATGACTGCTTATTGGGGGTGGGAATTGCAATTTATTACTTTGTATCTGGGAGAAGGGGTTTTAGTTTTGGGTTCAACTATGTAGTGCCGATACTTTGTTTCCTGAATAAAATATTCTTTAAGGAAGAATTCTTGCCTTGAAGTTCTTTTGATGAGTTTCATCTATTGGAACCATGACATTAATCCAAAACTCACTTCTATCCTGGTCCCGAGCTCCAGTCACCTTCCCTAAGTCGAGGAATAGGCTGACAAACACTCAGGAAAGATCTCATCATGGAGAAGGAAGAAGCACCTGTAAACAGCACATCAGAGGAGAAAGGAACTTTTGATGCTTCACAGCAGGGGGCCAGACTGAAGACGTGAGACCTGATCTGGTCATCAGAGTGGACCTTACCCAGTGGAGGCTCCAAGCACCTCAAGACAACCCTGCTGAAGGCAAGTTCTTCGAAAGCGTCCAAAGCCGACTTGCAAGCATGGGCCCCTTGACGATCTCACTCCCCGGACCATCGGGGAGCCAGAAGGTTGGCGACCACCGAGGATTCTGGAGAATGGAAGTACCTATCCACAGTCTGTAGCCAGTCGGTGAAAAAGTTGGTGGAGAGATTTGAAGGGCTGGAGGTGAGGAGCAGGGAACAACTTTCTCACTCTTTGCATGCAAGTGAACATGATGACCATGCTGACGCCAATCTGTGCCTAAGAGAAACTCCAGCCCCACTGATGGAGTGCAGGCAGCTTCCCCATCTTCAAAGCCGCCAGCGTTGACCTCCAGCTCCGCGAGAACGGAGAGTCCCGGCCAACACTCTAGACATGGCAGTCCGAGTCATCGCCGCTCCTCCAGGACTCTGGAGCGTCGTTCACAACTCAAGAGCCCCAGCCACTGGAGAGGCCCTGGTCAGTTATCGCGATCCCTCCACAGCCACTGCCACCTGATGGTTCCAGGTGGTGGATTATGATGACAGCCCAGTCGAACAGCCCCACTACCGAAGCCCAAGCCACCACTGGGGCAACCAGAGTCCAGATCATCACAGGTACCGTGAGAGCTCTGACCATTGCTACTATTGGTCACAGCCCTCTGCATCACTGTTGGCGCCACCCGAGGCCTGCACAGGGGAAAGACCCAAATGTGAGTGTTCATCAAGATTTAATTCAACAGCTGCATGACCTGTTGGCTGGGCAGGTCAGGGCACCGCA